CCTGTCCGGAGTTGTGCGTTGAGGTCGGTAGCTAACAAGTCGAATCCATCATGAGCCCGACCTGAGCCCTTAGGCATTGTTAGGTCGAGGCTTAATTTGGTTGTATTTGGCCGAGGTGTTGTCCTTAGTCATGTTGTGGAGCTAGGGTCGTGTTTTGACCTCTATGTCGTCAGAACAACCTTTCATCTCTCGCGTGTTTCGACGGTTACAACGATCCACGTGTTCTGCGTCTGTTGGCAGTTCGTGCATTGTGCAGGGAGCGTCGTCCTGACTGTGTGCAGGTCATGATTGAGTGCATTTAATGTGTGCATGGTGAAGTTATCGTTTTGCCCTTGGTTGCTCAACCGTTTGCAAACCTTACACCTTCGCACCTAGCATAGCCCCTAAATCAGGTAGGGTGAAAGCCTTTAAATTCTTCTTCTCGCGTTCGTTTGCAACTCTTACTACATTTTGCATTTCTTCTCTCAGCATTTCCCTTCCACCTTCAGGCGTGCCTTTTGGGGTTTTCGAGTCTTCCATTGTTGTCGAGGAGTTCTGAGTTTGTTCGCTCATTTCTCCACCTCTTTCTAACCAGGTACTTCTGCTTCCTTTGAACTTTTCTTTTCAAACGTTTGTTTATTTCTTGCTGGGGAGGGGTATTGATGCTCTCCGACAAGTATACCGATCGCACAAGTAATATAGAAAGTAAGTAGAGTATCGTCTCCACAGGGATTGTAAACCAAGTACTACAATAATCAGTCCTCTTAAGTTGGAAAACTCGGTTGGTTAAAATTGTGAATTGATTTTGAGTAATAATAAGAAATAAAAGTAAAGACTTGTTTTTGAATTTTTATTTAAGAGAAATAAAACAATAACAATGAGAATTGATTTTAAAAATATGAGAAAAACATTGTAGCTAGAGCGCACTCATCTTATGATCCTCACTTCTTACTTTGGATTGATTCACAATACTTATTCATATAATTACTCGGATAAATTATTATCTAAGAATATTTATTAGTTAACCCTCAATTCCTTGCAAGGTTAACCCTTTAATCCCCAATTAGAACCCCAATTCCTTCCAATGTTCCTCATGGTATTAAGCAATGAACGCAATAATTTAAGCATCCGCAATTAAATACACATCTATTCATAGCATGCATACCAATTACTATCCTACCCCCTTTCAAGATCAAAACCTCAATATTCCTATCTAGGGTTCTAACCCTCAAACTATTCTCAACTATCAGATTGATCAGTTCTAATAAAGAAAATAGAAAATACGCACAAGGTAGAGACAAAGATAATTATATAAATGAGTAAAACTAAATCAATCCATCGTAACAAGGGTTCACATAGGGCTCGTGACCCTAACTACAATAAAAGAATACTAGCCAAGCATAATCATGGCTAAAAATAATCCAATATTCAAAAGCATAAAATTAAGGAAAAAAGAGAAGAAGAACTTGATCCCAGGAATCCCCTCAGAGCTCTGTTGTCGTCTCTATTCAGAAGAATAGGTCTGAATACCTAGTTCTGTCATAAGGATCCTATTTATATGACTCTTTTTCTTTTCTCAAAAATACCCCTAGAGAATAAGACGGAGTAGTTTTCTCGCAAACCGGCGCCAGTTGGCGCCGGTGTGGCGCCACTTAGCGCCATCTTCCTGCCCAATATATGCTGCATTCCGGCGCTGGTTCTCCTTAGTTGGGCGCTACATGGCGCCATTCCTTCTTCATTTTGGGCGCTACGTGGCGCCATATTTGCTTGCTTTTGGGCGCCATTTGGCGCCACCTATTTGTGTTTTGGGCGCTGGTTTGCTTTGTAGCGCTAGTTGGCGCCATTCTGGCGCCAACTAGCGCCAATTCTTTGGACTTTGTACTCTGCATCATTTCCAATCCGGCGCTGGTCTACGTCAACAGGCTTTTATAGTTTTCACTTCTTTTTCCTGTAAAAACACAACCAATAGGTGAGAAATATAATTGAAAAGAAAGAATCAATTTTATTAGCAAATATGTAATTAAGTTGCTATTTTATGATTCAATTATTATCAATTTTAACACAGAAAACTACACTTGTCAAAGGCACATCAGGTATCTCTTTAATTCTCCTTTATGGAGTGTACGATGAGCATTCCTGGTTCTTCTGGTGCGGCTGTTGGCCGAAATGATGGAAGGGAGACCGACGAGGAGATGATAAAGAAATTTCCTCGAGCCGTTCAGTACTGGTTTTATGGCAAGGAGTATATTGAGGAGGAGAAGCTTCAACAGCTTCTCCGTGGTCCTCAAGGGGGTCGCCGGAGTTCCCGAGTGGGACGTGGCAGGAGAGGGAGAGGTCAGATAGGAGGAAGTCGTCAGACTCGGCTCAACTTTGGCGCGGACGATCCTCCTTTGGTCTCGAATCCTTCATTTCCTGGGTTGAATTCCTCTCCTGATCCGGTTCCTTTATCCTATATTTTGCCGTCATCTCAGGTGGTTCAGGGTTCGAGGTCCGTTTTAGATCGGATTCCTCCTCTTGGATTGGACCATAGTTCTTCCAGCCTTTCTTCATCCAAGTTAGGTTTTCCGGAATCGGCTACCCCTTCTTATTTTGGTGATTCGACTTCAAGTCGGATGCCGTTTTTCGACCTCGTTAGTAGTTCTGACAGCTCTATTCCCCTTTCTTGGAGTCCATGTTCGTTGCCCTCTGATCTCGGAAGTCCGAGGTCATATTTGGCTGATTTTTGTACTAATTCCCATCCTTCATATTCCAGGGCCACAATTATGGAAGGATCTGACGTTCAAGATTGGGTTCTTATCGAGATATTGCAGATGCGATCTACGATGTCTCCCGCCGATGTAGCCCAACTTCCAGTTGGAGACCCCAGTGGGGTTGATATTCTTCCAGCAGGCGATTACCCAGTGTGCTCGGGTCCTAACTTGGACGAGCCTCATTTCTTCTGTTTTTACCGGTATCTGATTACGAAGTTGGGAATTCGGTTCCCTTTTACCGAATTTCAAATGGCTGTGGTTCGCCGACTTAGGATTGCGCCCTCGCAGCTTCATCCTAATTCATGGGCTTTTATTCGAGGTTTCGAGCAAGTGTGTGCCTACCTATGTCTGCCTTGCACAGTTCCTCTTTTCTTCTTCTTATTTGATGTATATACAGCCCAGACTGGTATCGAGGCTAAAGAAAGAAAAGGGTGGGTAACCCTTCGAGGTACTCTAGGTAGGGGTATTTTTATTTCCTACTCCCAGTCCTTTAAGGGCTTCAAGGATGCCTATTCTAAGGTGGCATCTCGTTCTCACTCCCTTCCCTGGTTAGTTGAAGAATGACTGGACAATGGGGATCTTTCGTGTCAATTTGAGTTGTACTGGACGCAAAATCATTATCGGAGGCGTCCTAAGGACTATGCTACCCCATTAGCAGTTCTTTCCAGTTCAGAAAGGTTGGCGGTTTCCGTTCTGATCGAATATTCTGACGAGTACGGCATTATTGATCTAAGTCGGATTGTAGATAAGTTTGGGGAAGACCTCCTTTGCGAGCTCAGTATGTGATTAATCTTTATTGTTTATTTTTGGCATATCTTATGACTTGCATTCTGATCTTTGATCCTCTTTTGCAGTCAGCATGACGAGTTTCGAGTACAAAAAGTATATGCCCAAGCCCAAGAGAACTTCTGAAGGGAAAGCTAAGGAGGTTTCCTTCAGCGAGCCGGACGTCTCGAAGAAAAGGCGGCTTGAATCCATACTTGTTGGAAGTTCGATGGATGCGGAGACGGTCTCAGTCGATCTTTCTACTCCTCCCTCATCATCTCCACTCCCTCCATCTTCGGTGGTTGCACAAGGGGATGTGATTGTTTTGGAACCCGGGGAATTGTGGAAGGTGGGGGATTCGGACCGACTTAGGGCCGTCTTGAAGCCCCCTCAACAGCTCATGGGCAACTCAACCTTGACTTTCGACCTGAGGGCCCTAGTAGCTCAGTTGGAGGAGGACTCTTTGAAATCATCCTCTCTGCTCCAGTCCTTCCAGGATCTTCATCAAAGGCTTGATCTATCTGTTGCATCTAACTCATCTCTAACTATTAAGGTGGAGGAGCTTTTGAGGAAGCATGACGAGCTCGAGAAGGCTAAGTTCGAGCTTGAAGTGAAAGTTAAGGATCTATCCTTGGGGCTTTCCGAGGCTAAGAATGCTTCGGAGTCGACTAACATCAGGGCGGAAGGTTTAATGGTCGAGAAGGAGGCTCTCTCCAAGTCTTTGGGCGACAAGGATGCTCAGATCCATCAACTGCAAGCCGACTTTGAAGAGGCAAAGGCCGTGGTCATGAATGCTGCCACCGGAGCCTTTGCTAATGCTATTGCTCAAACCCAGGTTCTGAACCCTGGCCTCATCACTGATGGGATGGACGTTTCTTATGACGTGAAGGACAGCGCTTTCGTTCTGATCCCTTTTTTGATTTTGTATGAACATATTTGCCGCTTTAGGTCGGCTTTATTTCTTGCAATTGGATGGTCTTTCGACTTGTTGAGATCGATTCTTTGATTTACTTCTCTTTTAATTTGCATATTCGAGGTTTAATTTCGATCTCACTTTGTTATACTTCGGCTTATGATTTGCCGAGGTCGTTTTGGTTGATCTTGGGCAAATTTTGTTCGTCAACAAAATTTTACTCCTTATTAGATTGTTTAGCTCGAGGGCTCTTTTGCTTGAATAGAAATCGATATGCACTAACAAGATTGAGGTCAATACTCATTTATTTGCATTTCAAATAAAATCTATTTACACTGCTGAGTTTAAAAACTCGTTTTATTTGCTTCGAAATAAATCTACCTACTGACTGAGCTTAAGAGCCCGTCTTATTTGCGTAGAAATATATCTATCTACTGCCTGAGCTTAAGAGCTCATCTTATTTGTAAGAATTTAAAACTTATTCACAAATTCTCGGAAGTCAGACTTCAGGCCTAGCTGTAGTAGGCTTTTAGTTTGTCTGCGTTCCAAGTCCTCTTCACCGGATTCTTGGAGATAGTTTCGAAGGTGTAGGCTCATCTTCCCAAGTTTTCCTTAACTTTGTAAGAGCCTTCCCAGTTTGCTGCGAGCTTTCCATCTCTGGCGTTCTTATTGCCAATGTCTGCTCTTCTTAGCACTAGGTCACCGCTTTGGAATGACCGAGGTTTGACCTTCTTGTTGAACCTTGTCGTTACCAGACGTTTTGCCATCCTATTCTTATATCTAGCGTTCTCCCTGCTTTCATCTAGTAGGTCGAGCTCTACATCAAGAGCTTCACTGTTCTGTTCCTCAATTCCCTGTAATCTTTGTACCCTTCTCCAGGACGGTTCTCCGATCTCTACTGGAATCATAGCTTCACACCCGTATGTCAGTTTGAAAGGAGTTTCCTCTGTGGCAGATTGGTCACTTGTTCTGTAACCCCACAAGACGAGGTGTAGTTGTTGCACCCAAATTCCTTTGGCATCGAACAACCTTTTCTTTAGCCCGTTGATGATCACCTTGTTAGCTGATTCAGCTTGTCCATTTGTCTGAGGGTGCTCCACTGATGCAAACCGGTGTGTAATCTTAAAGTCGGTCATTAATTCTTGGAACTTCTTATCAGCGAATTGTGTTCCATTGTTTGTAATGATCTTGGCAGGGATTCCAAATCGGCTGATCAGGTTTCTTTCAAAGAATCTCTTAATTCTGGCTGAGGTTATGGTGGTGAGGGGTTCAACCTCAATCCATTTGGTGAAGTAGTCTACCGCTACTATCAACCATTTGAGCTGTCCTTCAGCCGCGGTGAAAGGTCCCAGCAGGTCTATCCCCTACTTGTAGAACGACCAGGGTGCCGTGATGGTTTGTAGCTCTTCGGGAGGTGCGTGAAGGATGAATGCGTGCTTCTGACATTGTTCGCATCTTTTGACGTGCTTTTTCGCGTCCGCCTCCATAGTTGGCCAGCAGTACCCTGCCCTAAGTGCCTTCCTGGCTAGGGTTTTTCCTACCATGTGATGCCCATTTATGCCTTCATGGATCTCAGCCAGGGCGTATTCAGCTTCATTCTTATTTAGGCATTTCATCATGGGTGTATAGAAGACTTTTTTGTAGAGCTGTCCTTCCACTATGGTGAAGCAGGCCAAGTTTCTCACGAGCTTTTTGGCCTCTTGGGCCTCGTCAGGCAGAACTCTTTTGTCCAAGTAGGCCACTATTGGCCTTCTTCAATCTTCATTCTCAGTTATTACCATGACGCAAGTCATCTCTGGGATGCTTTGCTGTATCACCGTATGATGATTTCCTGATCCCTTCGAGTTGGCGAGCTTTGACAAGATGTCTGCCATACTATTTTCATTCCGAGGTATGTACTGGACCACCACCTCGTCCAACTCGGCTAATATCTCATTGACTTGTTGGAGATACTTCATCATAAGGAGCCCCTTAGCTTGGTATTTTCCTTCAACTTGTGAAGTTACCAGTTGCGATTCGCTGAGGATCTTTATCCTTCTTGCTCCGTGCTTATTCGCCTGTGTTACTCCTGCAATGAAGGCCTCATATTCAGCTTGGTTATTTGAAGTCGGGAATGCCAGGTGAAGTGAGTGTTCGATGGGCACTCCCTCCGGGCTCTCAATGATCACTCCGGCTCCACTCCCCTTAGAGTTTGAGGATCTATCGACGTATATTGTCCAGAGATCTTCTTTTTCATTTCCCTTCTCTTTGGGCGGGGTTAACTCCAGAATAAAGTCAGCCAATGCCTGAGATGTGATTGCGTGCTGGGGTTCGTATGATATGTCGAACTCTGAGAGCTCGACGACCCAGTTGATCATCCTCCCAGCTAGATCCGGTTTATGCAACACTTGTCTGATGGGCTGGTTGGTTCTCACTACTATTCGGTGCCCTTGGAAGTAAGGTCGGAGCCTCCTTGCCATGGTAAGCAAAGCGAACACCACTTTTTTGAGCTTCTGGTATCAGAGTTTAGGTCCTTGTAGTGTAGACCTTATTGAGGTCAGTGTAGTCCACGCAAATTCTCCACTTCCCACTCGGTTTTTTCACCATCACAACGTTGGACAACCAAAAGGTGTACTGTATTTCTCTTATGAAGTCGGCTTCCAGCAGCTCATCCACATGTTCGTTCAAAGCCTAACGTCGGTCAGATCCTATCTTCCTCTCCTTTTGGGATACTGGCTTCGATCCGGGGTACATAGAGAGCTTATGACAGCATAAGGTTGGGTCTATTCCTGGGATCTCCGAAGCCTTCCATGCAAACACGTCAGAGTTTTCATTCAGGAAAGTGACCAGCTCCTTTTTGAACTTGGCCTCCAGGCCCTTTCCTACCTTGGTGTGTCCTTTATCATCCTTCCTAATATTGACGTTTTCCAGTTCTTCTTGGGGTTCTGGACGAGGTGCTTGGAGCTCCTCCTTCATATCCAATTCCATCAAGTTTACCTCGTTTCCGTATGGGAATACCGATTGGCCTCTGGCGGAGGCTTTACCTCCACTTGTGATCCGAGGGGGAGATGATGGACCTCCGTGATTGACTTTTAGAGTTTCGTAGTAGCCCTCCCTGGATTCTTTCTGATCTCCCCTTATGTGATGACCTCGTTCTTTGCCCCCGGTATCTTCAGTGCTTGATGCTTGGTGGAGATTAACATGTCCCAGTCATGAATTGTAGGACGGTCAATGATCATGTTGTACGAAGAAGGAGTGTCTACTACGACGAACTGAACCCTTCCAGCTCGGAAAGCGTCCTTCATTCCTAACGTCAGCTTTAGGTCTATATAACCCTTTGGAGGGGATGGCTCTCTGTTGAATCCAATTAGCTCGGTGGTTCATGATTTCAAGTCTTTTTCATCCAAGTTCTTCCTTTGAAAAGCGTTCCAGAAATGTATGTCCCCGCAGCTTCCGTGATCGATGAAGATTCTTTTGACTCGGCAGTTAACTAGCACTCCGGTGATCACCAGACTGTCGGTGTGTGCGGGTACGACCATTTCTAGATCCTCTTGGGTAAAGAACAGTCTTGGGGGAACAGGGCTGCTGACTTTCCCTTTAAAGGTCGGCATGTCTCTTATCGACATGACCTTCTTCAGGTACTTCCTCCATGCAATGGCCATGTCACCTCCACCCAGAGCTCCGCTTATCACGTTGCATTCAAATTCGGCTTCCTGGAATTTATGGTCTTTATCTTTGACCCTTTTGCCCTTCGAAGGGTGGTCTTGTTCCTGGTTTTTCGTATCCTCTCTCTTCGGGCTGCGACTTCTGCTCCGGCTCCTTTGCCTTCGTTTATTATTCTTTTTGCCCTGAGTTCAGATGATGTATTACTTCAATTTGCCATCTCTGATGTGCTTCTCAATGGCATCTCAGAGGTCCCAGCAGTCTTCCATGATGTGACCGTTCTGGTCATAGAAAGTGCAGTACTTGTTTCTGTCCAATCCACTCTTGCTCTTGAGGGGTCGAGGTCTCTCGACGTTACGCATTTCTGTTTGAGCCACCTCTTTCCATATCCGAGATCTGTACATGTTCAAAGGCATGTAATTGTCATACTTGCTTCTTGGAGATCGGTCATCTGATCCCTTGTCACGAGTATCGTTTCCCTTCTTCGACCCCCGCTGATCCCGATCTTTGTTTTTCTTGCTCGGACTCCTGCGATTCGGGCTTCGTCCTTTGGTCTCCCCATAAGTCTTCTGCATATCTTCCACATCAATGTACTTGTCCGACCTTCGCCTGAATTCCTCCAGGTCATTGACCGGGTTCTTATAAATTGACTTCGCGAGTGGAGAGTCGCCATCTAATCCCGAGATAATCAGTTAAATTCCGAACCTTGAGGGCGACATCTTTAAATCTTTTGAGGTATTTCCTCAATGATTCGTTCTCCTTTTGCCGGATTCTTCCCAAGGCATAGGCCGGTATCAGATGCGCCTTACTTGTTGCAAAATTCAGTCGGAAAGTCCGAGCCAGGTCCTCGATCGAGTTCCTGGGAAGCCTGGTTATCTATGCCATTGCTTGACCGGTCAATGTCGTCGCGAAGATTTTGACCTTAATAGGTCCATTTATCCCGTTGAACAACATCTCGGTCTTGAAAGCCTCTAAGTGGGCATCCGGATCTTGACTTCCGTCATACGGAGGTATCTTGGCACTCTTGAATCTCGGCGGGATTTCCAAGTTCATGAGCCTTTCAGTGAATGGGTTGTCATTAGCCTCCTCGTCATGGAGATAATTATCTCCTTGGTTGTTGACTGTATCTCCGTCTTCTTGGTGTTTTCCATGACGAAGATTTTGCACAGTCTCGGTTGTCGTGGCCGTGTTCTATTGCTGCGGCCTGCCAGTTTCGACCTGGCCTTCTCCTCCAGCTCGGCCTTCGGCGTTCTGGTTTCGTATCTCAGCCTCCAATGCCTCCATCCTCTGGGCATCTAACCTTTGTTGGGCCAGGAATCTATTTTCCATCTTTTGCATCCTTTGAAGAATTGCATTCATGGCCCTAGTGGTCACATCTTTTGGCTGATCATTCTGCGGGTGCACTGCCTCCGCCGTCGCGTTGGTCTGGGTTCTTAAGGGCGACATCTGCGTGCTGACCTGACCGACCTGGACATCAACCAACACAGGAGAAGCTGTTGACTGGAGATGCTCCAGCGCAGATAGGTCGGCATTTGGGCAGTGCTGGATATCAAACGAGTGTTCGTCATCATGGAATGGGGATCAAAATTTATCGTTTCCCACGGACAGCGCTAATGTTCGGTCCTGGAAAGACCGTATTGCTATACCGTATGGTATGCGCTCAGAGATACTGTATAATCAGATATATACTTGGCTTATAGCCGATGTCTCAATAACTGTGCACAAGCAATAGGCTTATAGCCAAAAGACGTGGGTGTGTGCACAATGTTGGCAGTAGTAATAAATGAGTTCAAAAGTGTGTACGTGGGGTCCTTAGGCTCTTATTTATAAGAATTACCTTTCTAGGCCTGAGCTTTTTGAGATCTCCCAGATTGCATTAGGACTCAACTCCATTTTTATTGGGATGAGATCCTTATCTTGAGTGCTTTGACTGCTTAATGTTGTTGAGATACTCATGTATCTATCTCTTAGTAGATTCTTAAGTGAGTGGTTGAGATATGATATTCATATCCATAACACACCCATATCCTCTTATTTAAATTTTGAAATTAAAGAGCTTTACACATAAATTATCCATAATTAAGTAAAAATATAAAACTAAAAAATAATATTATTAAATTAGCTAGTGAGATGACAACTGAAAATCATATAAGCTATTAGAGTGGAAGGAATTTTATATTTATTACAAATATATATTATTCATAGCTACTTTTGATAATTACGTATCTTATATATGCATCAAATTAATTTTTTAAAATGTGTTTGATACCTTACGGTACACGATACACTAACAAATCATTGCAGTTTTCCTTGACAACCTACGTCTGGTGTCTTATATATTTCTGTCTATTATTCCATTTAGAGTCAAAACTTTCTACAACACTAATTCGCGCTGTAAGAGTGGTTTACTAAAATAAAATCAAAATTAAAATCCTGACACGTTGAACAAGAGTTAAGTAAATTAATAAGCAACATCAATTTGTAATTGATTCAA